ATAAATGAAGGAGAAGGAATGGCTCTTGCTTACATAGAATTCTAATTAATAAATATAGAAGTAATGATAGAAATAGGAAGTAACTGTTGGACAAAAACACCACAATAGACCAGATACACCTGTGCATACTTAAGTTAGTAAGTGAAAGTATGGTGACAAATGGGATCTTTGCACAGTCTCAGAATTCTCTTTTCACAAAGATTCTTAATGATATAAAGAAAAATTACTAACTTTTCAATTGGAGAAACTTAGATACCACATTAAACAAGTGCTCAAAGTTACCATCATCTGTAATGAGATCAGCAGCATGTTATCTCCTAATAAAATGCATTGAAAAGGGTCCAACATCACTTCTTTGGGGATTTTTCCCCATTGTTTTAAATTATATTTTTTATTTTGAAAAAAATTGTAGAGTCACGTGTACTTTTACGAAAAATACAGAGATTCCATATATCCTTTACCTGCTTTTCCCTAGTGACAGCTATAGTTGTAAAGCAGTTATTCATTATCATAACCAAGATATTGATAGTGATGTGGTCAAATTACAGAACATTTCCATCACTACAAGGATTCCTGTTGTTGCCCTTATATAACCTCACTCTTTAAAAAAAAAAAAAAAAAAGATTTATTTACCCCAGAGAGAGGGAGAGCACGTGCTTGAGAGCATGCGAGCAGGGGGAGGGGGAAAGGGAGGGAGAGAATCCCAAGCAGACTCCCTGTTGAGTGGGGAGCCCAATGTAGGGCTTGGTCTCACAACCCCAAGATCATGACCTGAGCTGAAGTCAGGAGTTGGAGACCCAACCAACTTAACCATGCAGGCACCCAGCCTCACTCTTTTTTAAAATTCGGCTGCTTGTTTTGTTACTGAGTTGTAAGAATTCTTTATATACTCTGAGTCCTATGGAGTTTCCCCTCCAGTCTGTTGATATAGTAAATTATACTGATTTTTTTAGTATTGAAAATTGTGGTAAAATACACATAAAATTTACTATCGTAACTGTTTTAAAGTGTATAATTCAGTGGTATCAACTACATTTATATTGTGGTATAACCATCACCACTGTCCATCTCCAGAACTCTTTTCATCCTATAAAACTGAAACTCTATACCCATTAAACAGCTCCTTGTTCTCTCTTATCCACTGGCCATCACTATTCTGTTTTCTGCCTATGTGAATTCGTCTAATCTAGGTGGCTCATATAAGTCATATCATACATGTAGTATTTGTCTTTTGGTGACTGGCTTAATTCACTTAAGTATTTTGTCTTTAAGGGTCATCCATGTTGTAGCATGGATTGCCTTACTCTTTAAGCCTGGATAATATTCATTGTATATCTCTTCCACATCTTGTTTTTCCACTGATCTGGCAATAGACAGTTGGGTTGCTTTCACCTTTTGGCTACTGGGAATAATGCTGCTGTGAACATAGTTATGCAACTGCTCTCTTTAAGACCTTGCTTTCATTTCTTTTGGGTATATACCCAGAGGTGAAACTGCTGGATTATATCTAGATTTTTCTTTTACTCTCTCTACTTTCTGTTCTGCAAGTCCTATCTCTCAGAATCTTTTCCTTTTAGAGATTTTTAAGTTTTAAAAGTTCTCATCTATTTATTTCTTTAAGTAGCATAGTAAACCCTTAATTAAAAGGACTGTCCAGAGAACAGAGTATAGTGGTTATTGAATTTCCTGGCTAAGTGGCCAGTTACCCCCTTTGTTTCAGTCCTTGCTTTTGCAGTGTGTTAGTTCATTTTTTCCCTTAGTAAGTACAGTATAGCAGACATAATTGAATTTCTCTGGTAATTCAGAATCTTGTGATGCTTCAGGGCTATCATTACAAACGTAGACTCCCAGTATAGTATATCACAAGACAGAAGTTACTGGGGAGTGGAGCAAAGTACAAACCCTTCTGGACTCTTTACAAAACCAAATCCTTAATAGAGTTTGTTTTTTCCTGTTAATTATGTGTTTATAAGAAAAGCAATGTAGTATTTATATCATAATTGATGTTTGAAAGATGTTTACTAAACCTACTTTCTCATCTGGCCATCTTTACTGTTTTTTTATTTTTAATTTTTTTCATCTTTACTGTTTTTTTTTCTCCTGTGCCTTCCTCTTTGCATCTGTATCCCCATGCCACCAGATAATGGGCTGTCACCTTAGCTCAGAGTAAGCATATTTAATAGGTGTAACTTACAGAAGCAGATGGGATCTGGAATGCAGTATTCTGCACATCTTTGTCTCCCAGCTGCATTTCTCTTTTGCTACACTTCAAGGAAGAAAAACAGAGCTTTGGAGAAGACAGGACTAGAGAAAGAAAGACATAGAAGTACTGAGATGAGGAGAAAGAGCAAAGAATTCTTGAAGAAGCACAAAGGAGGAAAAGAGGGTAGGGCCACGTGGGGTAAGTGAGAGTAGGACAGAGTGGTTACAAAAGTCCCAAAGTCAAGCTTAATGGAGTCCCTCCTCCTGTGGCCTAAATAAACCCTGAACCCTGTGAGTCTAAGGAAGAACTTCTGTAAACTTCTACAGTTGTGACAAGTGGATAACTAAACCAAAGGTCACTTGGGCCAGAATGAACTTCATGAGCATCCTACTGCAGGCATTTCTTGAGTGCCTGTCATCCACAGCCTCCTGAATTCAGTCACCACCAGTCCAGCAGCCAAGAATAGAAAAGACCAACCTCCATTCCAGGTGTTTTATTCGCCGCTCTGTGAACATAAGGAGAGTGGTCCCCCAAGATCTGCAAGTAGTCCCTTCTCTGCCCTTGCAGGACATGTCTTTGTCTTTCTCTTGGGGCTAGAGGATTGGAGGGGAGGCTCAAAGTTTTGCCTTCTTTTCCCCTTCAGCTGATAATGCCTGTGATGCTTGGATGTGGAGGTCCTATTATACCAAACTATTAATCCTGTTGATTTGAACTTTTCTTGGAAAGTAGTAATGCTATACTGTCTTTACAGATAATAAAGAAATAAAGATAACTGGCATATTTGAGGGGCTCCTGGGTGGCTCAGTTGGTTAAGCATCCGTCGTCAGCTCAGATCATAGTCCCAGAGTCCTGGGATCGAGCCCCATGTCAGGCTTGCTGCTCATCGGGGAGCTTGCTTCTACCTCTCTCTCTGCCATTCCCCTACTTGTGCTCTCTGGCTCTCTGTCAAATAAAGTCTTTTTAAAAAAAGATAACTGGTATATTTGAAACATAGTTCCCCAGGGAGGTGTGATGGGTTCTTCTCACTTGTATTTTTATCAGACCATATTGGGTTTGCATGATATATGTCCAGGCTTCAAAGCAGACCTAGGAACCCAAGGCTTAACAGTTTTAAATGTACCTTTTCCGTGTGTTACTCCAGAATGAAGCTGAATGTATTTTTTGAGGAATCTAATTATAATGAAATTATAACAACTAAGCCTACATTTTGTACAATAGGAAGCAGAAATAAAAAAAATATAGGTAGGCTGATTGATCTTAATAGATTACTGATGTTGCACTATTTATGGCCTAGTTTGCTGCTCACATTTCTGATCTGAAATTACTGTTCTTCCAAAGCCTAAATAAGTTGTTAAAACGTCTAAGGTAGTTTTCCTTACAATGTGATTTCTGTCCTAGAATTTCCAGTGTGACCAAGAAATAAACAGGAGCAGGTGCCATGCACAATGAGTGAGTTGCTTAGAAAGAGACACCCATGAGGCAGTAGTTCTCAGCCAGGGCGATTCTGACCCCTAAGAATCTATGGCAATATCTGGAGACAGTTTTGATTGTCATAGCCTGCAGAGGAGGTGCAGGCTTCTAAATGGGTAGATGTCAGGGATGCTGCTAAACACCCTACAGTGTATAGGACAGCCCCCTACAACAAGGAATTATCTGGTCTAAAATAGCAATAGTGCTAAGGTTAAAAAGCACTGTCATAAATACGCAGAAGATACAGTATGTACTGATTGATAATCAACTGTATTAGGAAAAACCCAAGATGGTGCCAACAAGTTGTTGTTGCTTTGTCTGAGTTTTTCAGATTTGGCTTTTTGTTTGTTTGTTTTATTTCCAAATTTCTATTTTGAAGTCATTTTAAATGTACAGACTCCTCTCTGTTTCCTTAGCACATGATACTCAAGAGGCTTGCAAAATGTTGAGTGAAGTAAAAGAGAAAGAAGAAAGAGACACATTAGGAACAAATCTATTTAGGGTTCTTTTCCATGATGAACTATGTGAAACCCTGCTCAGAGCAGAAAGTTTGGAGATAAGCTTCTTGGTTTCCTGGAAATACCTAATCGGTCACCCCCTACACCATTCCTACCCTTGCTTCTCCTGGCTTGGGTTGTTCAGTGCTAGTGGAGTGGTGGCAGGGAGAACATCTCTTTATTGGGCCATGGATGAGCTTGGGTCTTGAAAGAGATCATTTAACACCTTATTACCTTGCCCCAGCCATTGCTGGTAGCTAGACAACTCTGTAGACCATTACCTATTAAATCTGTGTGCATATATATATTCTGATTAAAACAGAAACCTAAAATGTGAAAGTTTTCTGTAATCCTGATAATAAATTGGTATATAGTCCTTCAGTTTTTAAATGTATATATTAACACATATGTTAATACTTAATTATTAAAGATAGAATGGAATTAGAATTTTATAGTATGCTATTTTATAGCATGTTTTTTTACCATACTATACGGTGGACATTTGGTACTATAGTGTGAAGGGTAGAACGTTTAAAATTGTCTGTAAAATAAATATTTTAGTGTATACCCACTTCAGAGATATTAGAAAGACATAAATTAAAACTTATAGTGTGTTGAGTTTCTTAGATGAAAATACCATAATGTTATTATGTACTATGCTGTATTTTTCATTGATTATAACAATGTTGAATGATTCCGTTACTGGTTTCTTTTGATGTTAAAATATTTTTTAAAACATCTGAGTCCTCAGAAGGAAACTGGTATAGCTACGTTAATGTAGTTTGTGTTATACTCTTAGAGTTTAACCACCTTTTTTGTGTTCCCCACAGGTAAATATGTGTATCAGCCTATGACCCCTGTGGAGCAGCTTCCAAGTACTGAGATTCCTGCAAAGCCTCGAGAACCCACAAACACCATTCAGATCTCAGTGTCACTCACTGAACACTTTTTGAAATTTGCATCTGTCTTCCAGCCACCCCTCCCCCCTGACTCACCAAGGTACTGTATGATCTCAGACCTCTTTATCGACAACTATCAGGTTAAATGTATTAATGGGAAGATGTGTTATGTGCAGAAGCAGCCAGCGCCGCATTCCCACAAAATGAGCCCTGAGGAGGTCTCTGCACACGATGCCTTAATTTCAAGAGAGAGCAATACACCAAAAATAGATCACTGCTCTTCTCCCTCGAGTTCTGAGGACTCCGGGATCAATGCGATCGGGGCTCACTATGTGGAATCGTGTGATGAGGACACGGAAGAAGGAGCAGAACTGAGTTCAGAGGAAGATTACAGTCCAGAGAGCAGCTGGGAGCCGGATGAGTGCACCCTTCTCTCCCCCTCGCAGTCTGATCTGGAAGTGATTGAGACAATAGAAACCACCGTGTGAGAAGTCAAAGCAGGAAGCCATGGCCTCTGATCCATGCTGAGCTTTTGTACTTTTGTCTGATGGATCCTTTTTCCAATGCAGTTGGTATTTTCTACCCCTCTCTAACAACCATCTGCTGATTAGCATCACTCTTACATTAGTCTTATAACTGAGACATTCTTTTTCTTATAAATGGTTTTCTTTTGTATCTCGACTTATTTTCTATGTAGCATCTGGTGTCATGAATTGTGACCCAGCCTTAATTTCACGGGGAACTTTGAAAGCAATGACATGATGATGGCAGAGTATCATGGATCAGGTTGAGGAGCTACCCGGAGTGAAGAGTGAAGGAGGCAGTGAAGGAGCCAGTTCTACACACACACACACACACACACACACACACACACACCCCTCTAGGCCTTCCTCTTGAGTGCTGACAGGGATCCTTCCCCTGCTAGGGTCATACGGGAATCAGCTCATGAGAGGGGAACAGAGCGGGCACCAGTAGGTGCCATTCTGTCCCTTTTCCCTTCTTCCCACCACCTGCATGGGTCTGGGCCACTGTTGCCTCGGCTTACTTTTGGAGGTTCCCGAAGACCCCGTTCAACGCCTAGTTATGGCCAGTGGTCGCATACTGTGCATGATCTGGGGTGGAGCTTGACCTTCACTGAAGAAGAGCTGACAGCTGAAGTTTCATGTTCAGTCCAGCTTTAGCTGAGTGCCTCCGCTCTGCAGGGTGCAGCATGGGCATGCAGACTGAATGAGCCCTGACTCCTGACAGCAGGGGGTCCACGGTCCAACAGAGGACTGGGCCAACAATGCAGGTCACGGGATCCAGAGTGCTCTGGGAACCCAGGGCAAGGAGAGAGAGATTAGGCTTGCAGCTGGAGAATGTGTTGCAGCATTCAAGCTAGCCTCTTGGGTGGGTTCCTCAGCATTTCCCTGTTTTCTTAATTGTTCTTCAAATCTGGGGAAAACTTTTAGGAAGTTATATAGATATTATATTTAGGAGGCAGCCACATCTGACGTCTTAAGAAAAAAAATCAATAATAGTTTTAGTTAGCATGGAAATGCTAAAGACAGCAGTCCTTTAGGGATTAGGAATGAATCTAATAGGTTTGATTAATTCTGCTTCGTTTGGTTGTATGAAGCATTAGAATGGCTTAGGTGAGAAAATGGAATAGAATTCAGTATGATGCATGGATTTTTTAATGCAAATGCAAAAGCAGTTGAAATAGTGTGCTGCTAAGTCAGGAGAAAATATTTTGTGTAATATTCACTTTACTACAGTAATAGTCATAGTCTGTTGTACATGTTCTCTTTTCTCTCACAAAATAGTGAATAACACTTTCTTATTTAGCTCTCTTCAGAATTCTTCTAATTTGCATTTATATAAGGTGTTTTTGTGTGAGTTGCTTATCTGCCATTTCTCCAAATCTGCCTTCTGTGAGGCGTAGTTAAGAATCCAGGAAGTTTAAAATATGGCCCTAATGAAACTAGAACTATCAAAGGTGGGGATAGAGAAATATTTCTTATATCTTAACCATGAGCGTGCTCTTGTGGCATTATCTCATGCTCTGTCCTCATTTTTGCACATTTCTTCTTTGTCACGTTAGTTTGTATTTTAAGAAATAAGAAGAGGCCCGTTGTGTTCTTGCCTGAAGCCTCCATTTGGCATCCTTCACAAATCATTGTAGGCAGAGTCTGCTTTCTTAGTTGTATCTGTAGTTCTAAAGTGATTTCTAAGCACTCCGTTAGGTTTAGGTGCCCAAAACATCCCTAGGGTTTAGAAAGCAGAGGATGCATATTCCTTTGAAAACAGTGTTAGTTAAAACTTCCTATGCTAGATGAGAATGCAGCATAAAGTTCCTGCTACCAAAACTTAAAAGAGTCAACTAGTCTAACCAGGAAGGTGGTGAGAGGGGCTCCAGAACAGCAGGGTACAGGAAAGGGCAGGTGGAGGCAGGGGTGGGGAGAGGGGCTTCCCTGGCCCAGATGGCTGGGAGACAGACATCTGATGGGCCTGCCCGAGTCCTCAGTGCCTCCCATGGTGGAGTAGCCAGCTGAAGGGGAGGGCATGAAGCCCAATCCTTTGAGCCGAGCAGTGTAGCCAGCCGCTGTGTACTCAGGGTTGTAGCAGCAACATCAGGCTGGGTGAACCTGCCCTGGGCGGGGAGATAACTGAAGCCCCCCGGGGGGCCAGATGGAAGGTATTCTTTCTCTACACCTTTCCTATCAGTTCTAAACTCTGGGCGTACATTCCCCTTCATTAAACTGATTGGAGTCAACCACCAGGTCTCCAAAGCCATGGAAATATGTGGTCACAGGGCTGTGACCTGAAGCTGGCTGTGTCAGGGCGGGAGCCTTTATCAGTAACATCTATGACTTCGGCCTAGGTTCCTCTTTTTTAAACTACTGAACTGCTGCCAGTCAGATTACCCATGATTTTAATGGAATTTTTGGATTTAAAATGGTTGATAATCACTTTAAATATTTGCACAATCTCTTTGTAATTAAAACTCACTAAGCTTCACTTGCTACTATTTTATAGAATTGGAGATATTCCATTGGATTCTAAATATCAGATGCTCCTGGATCTCAAAATAGCCTTTTCTAAACAAGCACAAGCAAGAATTTCTTTATCCTGGCACTGTTAATAATTCTCTGAAAATCATATATATGATTGAACCATAATTGTTTCCTTTTGCTTGCATTCCAAAAACAACTGATAAGGATATAAAAATGTATATTTACAACTTAAATTCTAGGCCTATCTGTTATATATTATATAAAGGAATTTCTCTGTAAACCTGATACTATATTGCTCATTTGTATAAGCATATTTATAGGCACTTTAGAAAATGTTTAGACTGCGATGTGTATTATAGACCTCAAACAGTCATGTTAAATAGTGTTTTGGTTAATACTTATACATGAAAACTTTATAGTGTGAGTTTGCTCACTGAGAGCAAAGAGTTGGGTTGTGTGGATGGAGAAACTGCTTTTGGGGGTTTTGATGTAAACCTGGCACACCATTCCCACTACCTGAAAGTTGGTGTAAAGGCTGTTAGGTGGAAGATGCAAAGTAAGTCCTGTATGGAATTTAGCTTTCTTATCAAACCAATATTTATTTTAGAATTTTGAAGTTTCAAATATGCTCACAACTTTTATGAGAAAAGACAAAACAATTAAAATGCTTTTGTGGTTAAAACTATTTGGTACATTAACAAATATGGCTTTACAGTCAAATTAGGTATTTTTTTACCTTGTAATTTTTAAGAATTGAAGAATTTGAGGAAAACCCTGGCGAAAAATCAGTTGTTTTCCTAGAAGAGGAAGACATGTACTTCAAGGTAATACAAAACCAAAACAAATGAAACCACCTAAACCAGAACAAAACCATGAAGTGGCTGTCCTGAAGTAGCTTTTGGATTTGATCTAGGATTTGATACTGTTTTAGGGCTGGTGGTTTTATTTTTTAACCTCCACTTCCTGGCCTATTTGAAACCATTCTCTTGGGATTAATCAAAACAAACTCCTTTTATACAAATTTCTCTATTTGGGTAACAGGACACCACCTATTTTAGAAAGCTGTCAAAATACCCAGATATGTTTGGCGCTATAAATACTGCCAGGCAAGGGGAAAAAAAGCACAAGTTAAACTAATATTTATACGTCAGCTCTTGATTTTTTTTCCATCTTGACTGCAAAGTTGTATTTGACATGTTTTGGCTTTTTACAGGTGGGAAATATTTTAACGGTTTTCTGTCCTACTCCCATCTCCAGACAGGAGGTGGGAGCCAGAGCTGAGGAGGCCAGTTGCATTTTAGGCTTTTTGGTAAACAATATGTGCCTCTTGCCACTGGGGAGAAGGCAGAGGGAAAGAAGTAGGAGTTCTACTGGCTCTATCGTTGCTGTGAATTCCAGGGATGTCAGTATTTCTCACCTCAAAACAGAAGTATAAGGGCACTTCTCAGAATTAATTTTGGAACTATTTACCTTTTAAAAATGTTATGTCACTGCTCCCTTTCATTACTCTGGGGCATGGAGAGTTGACTGTACTGCGTGTGAAAGGGCCATGCTTCTGTTAGTGCTTTGAGTTCTTTGGGTTCTGTTTAGACTGAAGCAGTGCTCTTAGTATGAACAGGTTCTGAAAGCAAATCATCACTAGAGGCTTTAATACTGAGCTTCCATATCATTGTGTCCACATTCACTTTTTAAGGCTGTTCATACCTTGCAATATTCAGTTACTGTGCTATGCTAGTTTTTGCACCTGTCTGCTTTAAAGTTTTAAGCACAAGGTTGACCCTTCTGTAATTTCCTAAAATTATATTGTTTTCCTACAGACAGCTCAACTTTCCTTTGTGTAGAATACTTTAGGAAAATACTTACTTGTAAAATAAATGTAATTTTTTCTTTTGTACCAGCACAAATCTGATATTTTGGAGTTTGGAATATTCTCTCCCCCTGCTTTCTCCCTTGGGGAGCTTCTGTCTGGTTTAAGTAACACATTGTGAACTAAACAAAACCAAAACCAAAACCCGCTCTTGTGAAATGTGAAACATGTATTGAGTGCTTACTTTGTGCCAGGAAATACGCAGTTTACATCATTATTACACTTAGACTTTACAAGAACTATGAAGTGCAGGTGAGTATTATGACCCATGTTGGTCATACGGTCAACTGCTCACAACAACTCCCAGAACACTTTGTAACAAGAACTTTTTTGTTGTCTACATCGTTTTATACTAATAAAACTTAGATTCCCCTACAGTTTTTAGTTCAGCAAAGCCACAGCTTTGTATTTGGTTTACACAGGCCATGTGAGACAGTTCTAACCACAGGTCCTTGGGGGTGCAGTCGCTTCACCACCAAGGCACAGGGTCCAGACCTCAGCGTGGCAAATCCAGAGGCTCGATTCTTTAATTCACACCTAAAAAAGAGCAGCTCCTGGGGTTGGATTTCATTGAATAACCTCACTAGAGACTGCTGAATAAATTCACACGTCAGTATTAACAGTGGCATTATCATTTTTTTTAAAGATTTTATTTATTCGTGAGGGACACAGAGAAAGAGAGAGGCAGAAGCAGGCTCCATGCAGGGAGCCCGACGTGGGACTCGATCCCAGGTCTCCAGGATCATGCCCTGGGCCGAAGGCGGTGCTAAACCCCTCACACCCAGGCTGCCAGCATTATTATTACTAATTCTAGCCAAGCTTCCTGCTTTCTGCAGGCAAGCCTCACAGCAACCCTGAGGGAGATTTCGGCCCTGCACTCCATGGATCGGGAAAAAGTGCTCAGGGAGTGAATATTTTCGCCCCAAGTGGCACAGCTTGGTAGGAGTCAGACTTGAACCAGGCAGGTACCTTGGCCCTAGACCTCACGTTCTGGGCCCTCTGCCTGAGTCGCTGGCTCTGTAGACCTTTCCCCCCCTCAGGGTGGCTGGAGGCTGAGTCAGGAGGCCGCTAGGGAACCTGGGAGCAGAGCGGAGGGTGTGCGGGCCTCTAACCAGCCAGCACCTGCCCGCGGGCTGAGGCCGGGCCTCGGTGGGCTGCTCCCCGGGCAGGGTGGGAGAAACGCCAGGGGCCTGCCTTCCTCTCTCCCTTCCCTGTGCTCCACAGACCATGTCCCAGCACAGACGTACACCGTCTTGCTGCAGATACATCAGCGCTTTGACCGGGCTGTTGCTTCCGTGTGTAATCACGTTCTGCCAGCAGTCTAGGCTACCATGTCTGCCTCCACGTAAGGCGACTTGACTTAAAATGACTTTTGCCGACAGCCAATCTCATCTGTGTGTGGATTTTACTCACTGAACTCTACATAATTGTATTGCCAGGTTCTCCAAGGCATCTCGTTGTAGCCTCTTACAAGTGCTGACTACATACGCTTTTATTCTGCAATAAGCTTTAATTTAGCGTCTTGTCCTCATTACATTTCAATCACTGCGAACTAGTAATGCCTTTAACCCTTGCCGTACGGCCCCATTTCTGCGCCGACCGAAGGGAGTAAGGCAGGACCTTGGGACTCAGGCTCCTTGGGTTCAAGGAGGTGCAGTCAGAGGTCAGATGGATTTCCCAGGAACCAGGCAAATACAGAAGCTGATGGAAGTGAAAAGCAGGGTGAAGCAAACATGCCAGGTATTAGTGGTGCTTTTCTGTTTGCTTTTTTGAACTTTCCTAGTTCTCTAAAATGAATTGATACTATTTTTATAATCATAAACCCAGTAAATTATTTTGAAGATGATGAGTCCTAGGACAGTGAGTGCAGGCGGAGCATTCGCTGGGTGTGTAGGATGGAAGTGGAGAGCCCACAAGTCTGGGCAGTGACTCACCTGCTACAGGCATCTGCTGGATGAGACTAAAGGGTGGACAGGGGACTGTGTGTCCTTGAGCTAACCCGCCCCACTGAGCACTGACCCCATTCCAGGCCTCCAACCATGCATGGAAAGTTCTTGCACCCGTGGGTTGGAGAAAGAGGAGAGGATTTGATTCTTACTGTCTTTCTCAGTCCCCAGCCTGAAGCCCTGCATGTGAATTTGGAGACAGGAGATCAGAAGCCTTGGGCTCGGGTGGGATACCCTAGCCCTCTGTATCACCTGGCGTCAGACCCCAGATGATTTATCCCAAGAAAGAGATCTGGAGTGTCGCTGTGAGATGATGACCACGCAGCACTGTGAAGTAAGCAAAGGCATGCAGTGTCTGAATGGGGACGTGACCAGGCGTTTTCCCAGATGTCACCCTATTGTCCACACCTGTGACTCTGTGTGGGAGGTGGGAGATGATGATCCGTGAGTTTATGGCTGAAGCAACCAGTAGCTGAGTCGACTATAGAGGCAGGTAAGTTAGTCGTCCATGGCAGGTTAAGTAGCAGAGCCTGGGCTCCAAGTGTCCGCTGAGCTTCCAAATCCAGTTGGTGTGACTCCCTCATTTGTTGAGCCTGTGCAGTCAAGCCCTGTTCTTGTGTTTAGGACTCTTCCCTCTGCTCTCCCTCACCTGTCTGTCTCCTCCCCCCACCTGAGGCTCTGCGGTTGTCCATCGCACCCAGCCCCCCACAGTCCGTCTGGACCAGCCCTGGCTCTAATGGAGGGATCAGCGGGCCACAGCTCGGCCCTCGGGCCTCCCCTGATGGTACTCTTGTTGCTGAGGTGCTCTGGTCTTGTGCCCAGCTTGGCTGGACCTGGGCCTGCGTCTGGACTGGGACCCTGGACACTGCCTTGTGCTCAGGTGTGGCCCTGGATCTCGGAACTCTGTTGGGAATGGCCTCAGATAGCACTTTTGTTATCAGCTGCCTCTGCTTTCTCCCTTTCCCAGCCCTGTTGGGTGGGGCCTTTTGTGCCAACTGTGTAGCCTTCTGTCATCCCCTATTATGGACTTGCCTCTTTGGACCAGTTTATTTCAGGGGACCGTGTAGACCCTGACTCTGATTACCCGGTCATGAACATCTGATACCTGAAGGCTGAGATACTCCCTCATGTTTAGAACCTGCCTGCGTGAACTATGATACCAAAATTCACAAAGCAAATGTAGGCACATCCACGTATCTATAGAATGGCCTGAAAAAGCCATTGCAGTCTATCCACGGTACCGCTCTAGGAGGCCACACAGGCCAGGAGCTTTGGGGAAGACCCTGGGTGGGCGACTGCTCTGTGTATGGAGGGGGTGCTCACTGAGGCCTGGGTGGGCTTACACAGGGATCCATAGAGCCTGTTCAACCTGGGAATCTAGAATAAAGAGAGTTGACTCTAGCATGATTTAGGGGCTGCACTGAGTGTATGGAGAAGACCGAGGATTTGGGTTCTCCAAGGTAAATGTGGGACCCTCAGTGAGCAATCTCTGGATAGGTCACAGAGGTCAGTGTAAGATCAGTGGGTCTAACTGGAATTTGCTGGGTGTCCTTTTAGATTACGGGGGGTCCCAAAGGGATCAGTTCTACCCCCAAAGAATTTATTTTCATCCCATAATCAACATATTCAAGAGGCAGAGAGGCTGTGAATTCGTGGAGCTGCCATATGTTCCCTGAATCAAACAGGAAGTCACTCAGCCCCATGTTATGTCTGATACAGCCACTCCAAAAGGGAATAATGGGGTCACAGGTCAGCAAAGGGAAGGATGGACCGAGGAATCATCATCTCAGGTGGAGGTAAGGGTGTGGTGTGGGAATCTTGAAGGGTGATGAGCTAATACATCCTCCTAGAGAGAAGAGCCTGGGTTGGGCAAACCATGAGATCTCAGAGCATGGCACCCACTCCCCCGTCTCCCCCATCAAATCCTGACCTTTGAGATGGATGTGGTGCAGAGTTCTGAGGGGACATGTCCGGTAGAAATGGGGGCCACTGGGCTAGTCAGTTTTGGAGAAGTGCCCCAGTGCGAAGCTGAGGCCCAGCCCCGCCAACAGCTCAGCAAGCAGATCCTGTCAGCCGCCTGAGCTAAGCAGCTAGCCGTGGCTGGGGCAAGAGGCAGATATCCGGGCTTGTGCACCAAAAGTCGAGCTCAGGAAGGGACGGTGCAAGGGGGGTGTGCATCTTACCTATGCCAGTGTCCCCCCGAGCAGTAGACATTCATTCATGCCGGCAGGTAGAAGGTGTCCGGTAGACCTACCCTTGGACCCTGCAGAGTCATTCCTAAGCTTACACCCGACAGAACTGCATACATGTGTTCACCACGAGACGGGGAGAAGAGTGGTAACAGGCCCGTACGGGCGACGGCCTAAGTGCCCATTAACACCACGGATAAATGGCGGTTTAGTCCTGCTGCTGCTGGTCAGGAGCAGGATGACAGAGATGATCTCCAACATAGCCGGAGGCAAAGAAGCTCCGTTTATGTGAAGGTCAGAACTCTGCCAGTCGAAGGATGGTGGTAACAGGGCGCGGGCTGAACAGAACTCGGGGGACCTCTGAGGTGCTGGTCGTTTCTACCTGCTGGATCTGGGTGCTGCTTACACCCCGATGTCTTCACTGAATTAACCCAGCTGCACACATAGGGTTTGTGAACATTTCTGTCCATAGAAAAAGCATTTTGAAGAAAACCTGGTGATACCTGTTACATTTTAAGCACCGCGCTAACGAGGACACCGGAGTCTACAGAATGCGATTCTGCTCTCAAGTGACCGCAACAGACAGGAAACCACCCACGAGTGGACAAAAGGTGAGTCAAACTGCCACTTCCCTCAAGGAGCTGTGCAAGGCTTCATAGAGTAGCCGCGTGTGGAGGGGGCTGGTGGCCGACAGAGGGGCCCCGGGATGAAACCCGATGAGCCAGGGCTGCCCTCTGGAAGCTCCGGGCGCTCCGGCTAGGGCCTGGGGTTGGCGTGGGCTGCCCAGAGGACAATACCCGAAGCGGCCTTCCCCGAGTCTTTGGGCACGTCAAAGGCGTCTGATTCTGGAGATGCGCCTTTGGAAAAACATTTTCAGCAGGTGGAGCTGAGTGGAAACATACTATTTCTAAAAGGATCCCCAAAGCTCTGAATTATTTATTCACTAAAGCATTCATCATTGATGAGGCCCCTGTTGGCTTTCCTCTTCCACAAACACCTTCCCTCCCCCTCACCGCAGAAGGTTCTGGTTTGGCGGTGTTATCTTTGGAAAGCATCTTCCCACCCATCACTTGGACCTTTGCTAGGATGGAGCAGATTGCTTTTATTTTTCAGGAAAGCAAACAGCCTTCCTCAGCTCGTGTGTGGGCCAGTGGTGGGTCTGGGCCTAGAACCCCGGGCTCCTGACTGGCAACCCGGCGCTCTTTCCAGCAGTCCGTTCTGCTCTTTGTGGAGAACTGGGCGTCGGGAGGAGGGGGTGCAAACACGGTGGGCGGGGGGCGTGCAGCTGGAGCCGGGAGATGAGAGGAACCGTCCTCAGGGGGGCCACGGGGTACTCCGATTCCTACTGTTCACCAGGTGTAAGGAAGGACAGAGCTGTAACCGGTAC